TAAAAAAGCAGCATGCCATCCAGATAAAGCCTGCTCTCTGACCTCAAATGTCAATATTATACTCCTACATACTTACTTAATTCTACAGATACATTTTACTGTAGTCCAGATCTCAAACAACAAGGCAAAACTTGACCTTCAAGCTCCATAGAGATCTTGATATGGTTTTTCATATTTTAACACTTATAACATTTGCAGTTCTGAGACAGACAAACCTATACAAGGTGGAGCTACCTGCCCCCCACTCCCACCCCACGGACCATGCTCAAATGCAGCAGAAGACATCAGGCAAAAAAGTGCCTCATCCTGGCGTCCTTTGAGACCTTACTCCAGGGCTGCTGGGCTGTCCTGGCCACCAGAGAGTGTGTGGACCATCCTAACCTCTAGCCCTCACCTAAAATGTCCATACTGCCAGATTTGTCACCAATAGATGAAATTGCTGCCGAAGACTCAGGGGGTTCAGGGCCAACACAGCCCACTTTGTGGGTGTCCATCTCAGAATCCAAGTCACATTACAGAGTTGTTCCTAAATTTTCAGGCTACTATATTAAGTCCTCAATCTCTGACAGGGTATTGATGGTCAACCTATGCCATTTATAAACAAGGCCTATTTTGTGCAGGTCCCAGTCCTAAATCTTAAAAGCCTTTTATTCCCTTTTACAGGCTGACAGATACATTTTGTCTTCTCACTTTGTTTATACTTTTTCAGGACACATAAAAGCCTTTCCCACAACCAGGGAAACTGCTGACATACTTGCTAAAGTTCTGTTACAACAAATCATTCCAAGAACTAATTTGCTAGACTGCCATTCTGGTTTCACATCACTCAGGCCCTAGATCTGACCATCCTTTTCCTACTCATCTCTGCCTTACCAAGGCCTCATAGCCACGACTCACAGGTTGTCATGTTTTGTTATCCACTTTGGTTCCTAATTTCTTATGTTCTGTTAATGATCATTTTTACAGCAGGACTCTTTAACAGTATTGCCTACAGACTCCAACATCATACATACGAGAGACAAGCCTTACTGACCTACCTTTTAATTTTTATGCTTTCAGATGGGGGAGTAAGCACCTCTTATAACTTCACTCCTCCTAATCCCATGTTTAATCCCACGTTTAATTTTCAGAATTCTGCCTTACCATGGAAATGATCCTACCTCAACGTCATCCTGATAGAATGACATGTCTAAATCAAAGGCACCTTTCTCTCTACCTCACCTGGGTCCTTAAATGTGACAGTGCCATGTCTCCTCATAACCTCATGTCTCTTTGTTTTTCCAGTCTAACATACGTGCATTCACCAGTGAAGTTGTCCTGGCTGAAACACCTGACACCAGTGTCTACCTGGGCATCAACCGTCATCCCGTTGACTCCCCTAGGCCCCAGTACAGTGACCTCAGCCAGCAGGAAGTAGTTAAAGAGAGAAATCTTTGCCCCTTTTCATAATAATCATAAGATGGGATGTGAAAGGGTTTTGGCCCAGGCCAGACACTGTAGCCGGTAAAGCCAAGGAGCTCCTATCTCCCCCTCCCTTAGGAATCTACCTCTGGTGCCAAACAAAGACCAATGGGCTACCTGTGCATCCCTAATGTGATGCCTCCTTGGGTTCCACTGCAAGCCTAGGCTACTTATGTGCCTCACTCCACGTGTTCCACGGAGATGATCACCGGCCCCAGAGTGGAGATGCTACGCCCCAGGGGGTCGGGGGTGTCTCTCTCCACATTCCCAAAATAAAGGTCATTTATATTTCATACTTCTTATCTTTTCAGCCACTGCCAGTCCTCCCCCCACAGTTCTATCAGTAAGAGGTAAAATGCCCTTGCTACCCACCTGTGGCAGGCTGTGTGCTATGAACTATCTTCTGTGTGTGCTTTATTCTACTTGGGCCATTATCTGCATTCTTCAAGCCAGTAAATACACTTTAAAAGCACACAATGTGGTTTTACAGCAGCTTGTTAGTCATCAATTTGAGATTTCCTGAGCTGATCAAAGAGAGTATTAAAATAGATTAGGTGAGGTTAGGTTTCTAGGTTAGGTTAGGTTAGGTTTCTTACCATCTCTATATTTTGCAAAGAGTGTATTAAAATAGCTTAGGTTAGGTTTCTTAACAGCTTCATTATATTTTGCAAAAATGAACAGAAATTTTCCCTCCTTCATTTCCCTGTTTGCAATCTACATTTTCCTCTATGAAATGAAAAACACCAAGTCCTCACTTGGATTCAGGAATGGAAGAGTTCAAATTAGAACAACTTGAAAATATCTTCATGTTGGGCACAGGCCAGATGAAAGTGAGAAAATGGCAAGCTCTTAGTTTCTGGGAAGTAGGCTGGATGGTAATGAAACACATCCTTTCCTACTACCGTGGGTTAGGGGAATTGGGGGTTCTGTTTGTACATTAGGGAAATTAAAATTTTTCTGGGAACTTTCTCTATTAAATATAGGTTATAAAGAAGTTATATTTCCTCCCTTCCCTGTTCACTTACCCATAGTTCATGGAACACCTATATTGTCCTAATATCCACTTGCAGATCATATATATATATATATATATATATATATATATATATATATAGAGAGAGAGAGAGAGAGAGAGAGAGAGAGACAGACAGACAGACAGACAGACAGAGACAGAGAGACACAGAGAGACACACACAGAGAGCGACACAGAGAGAGACACACACACACGAAGAGAGAGAGAGTTTCAAAGATCTCACCAAACATTTTCCCAAGGACAGATAGACTTAACTTCAGGTGTGGAATCCCTTAACAAGGTTCATTCACTTGAAGAATTCTATGCTAAGCTCTGGAGAGAGCAGCAGCAGAAAGTCCCTCATGTAGATGTGGTCACAGTCTCATCTAGGTGGAGGCAAGACCTGCATGTGAGAAAGACACCTACAACGTGCTCGTATATGGGTGCAAGACAGATGCAATGAGTGCACAGTGCCACACTGATGCAGAGTTGATAATTCACAGGCAGAGCCTCACCCTGGCAGAATTCATTCCCGGGGTGAGGTTGGCCTGCACCCCTGTCATCATTGCGTAGCCTGGAGTGGGGAAGAAAGGAGGAAGCGGGTTCTTAAATGGTGCTGTTGGATACAGGAGTGTTTAAGACATTTAACTGTTAAGAATTTAGTCTGATGTCAGTTGTATTAAATGCTTTTAGTATTTCAACAGTGGTCCAGTGATTTTCCTTATTCATATTCATTTATAAATAAAGAAATTTACCAGTCATTTTCATTCTGATAATCTCAGAACAGTATTATAGATGTGTCTCATTTGTAACTCTTTTTCAGACTGTACTAACTTCTTTTCCAGTACACTTAAATTTTTTGTTTTAATGCAATACCAGTAGATATTAATAAAATAAATATAAAAAGCACTCTTTTTACTGCTATGAAAAAATAAAACAAAATTTCATGAAAAAAATAAGCGTGACTCTAGTATATACACAGTGTGTGGGGATCTTAAAAGAGTGACCAAAATGTTAAGTAAAGTAAAAATTATGGACAAAGAAGTAATAAAAAAAATAAAAAGACAAAACTTTCTTTTCAACAAGAAAAACTAGTAGCATAAATGAAACCAATTAGCATACACCTTAAAACATTTCTGAAACAACAAAATATGTAATTTATGTAATTATTAGAATTTTTTTCTACTTTTTGTTTCACTCCCATATGAATGCATATGTATAAATATGTGTACATATAAATACATATACGCATACATACGAATTTCTCTTGAAAGAGACACTATGAGATATTTAAGCTTACTTTTCTGAAATAAGGCCATACATTGTTTTAAATATTGTGATCAATACATTTCTCTCAGTGAAAATTAGGTTCAGTTTGTGAAGCTTCACCAGAACTCAATTATATAAATGGCATTTTTAGTTCATTCCTTTCATTTCAAGATATGATTGTGCTCTGTTTAGAAAAAAATCGTTTTGTTTTGTTTTTTTTTTTTTTGGCTTTTTCATTTTTATTGGTACCAGGGATCAAACTCACAACTGCCTGCTTGCAAGACAGGTGCTTATGCTGCTGAGCTAAGTCCCCAGCCCCTTTTGTTTTGTTTTTGAGACAGAATCTTACTGTAGAGTAATGATTGGCTTTAAATATGAGATCCTCCTGCCTTAGCCTCCTAAGTGCTAGAATTATAGAAGCATGTCACCATATCTGGCTTTCAAAACCCTTTTAAAACCTGATCTCATTATTATGAAAAGTTTTCTATATTTCCATGCAAATTCCAATTTCCTGATCAGTTTATATACATTGTAAACTTCACCTTGGCCCACCCCATGCAGGATATCAGGACTTACTATATCATGTGATCACTTCCTTGCTCATTCCCATTCATCACTGGACCTAGACAAACATTCCCTAATCAAGCCAGACTCTTTTGTAACAGCTGATTATGCACCATCACTGCTTATTTACCTCTGGCTTGTCTATGAACTATGGCAAAGCTATGAGCTACGTTGTTGGAAGTTAGACAACTGCTCATATAGACAAGTGAATGCATGATCCAAGGACCCAGGCAGATAATCAAAAACTTAGAAATAAGATAGATGACAAAAACTCTTAGTTGATAGTTCTGCTTGTGCCCCAAATAAGAATATTTCATGCTGCTTGACTCAAACAACTATAGAAGCAGACATTCAGTTTTGGAATTGATATTGTGAAAGTCTTCCAACACAAAGAGGACAAAAGCTAGTGGGCAGGATGCATTGACTGGGATAGCACCACATAGTACCTGTGGGCTTTCTGACCAAGCTTGGTCAAATATTTCAAACATGAGTCTGCTAGCAATCAGTAAAATTGGGTAATTTTTTGCTTTCAGTTTTAGCATTAATGCAACACATGTGTGAGTAAACTAGCTTTCAAGGATTTTTTTTCTTCTTCCTCTTTATGTACTTTCTCTTTCTGTTTTAGCTAATAAAAGAGAGAAACAAGTTGAAAGAGAACCAGCAAGGAGTGAGAGGCAACTAAGAACTTTGCTTGGACCTGTGGTGTACTGGAATAGGTATGTTTTTTCCTTTTCTTTTCCTATCATGAAAATCATTCTTGAGCTTGACTTGATTTTTCCTTCAAAGTAGCAGCTGAGTAAAGGACAGGAATTGTCCATTGTCCATGTGACACCTTGGGATCTGTGTCTGGCTTTAGTTCTGGGAATCTCAGACTTTGCCAGGGAGAGCAGGCTGGAGGAAGCCAGACACAACTGGAACCTGAGACGCACAGCTCCCTGGCCATCAACTCACAGTAGCAGCAGCATCAAGTTGACCAGGAGGAGCTGTGGACAGATGCCTGCCAGACTCTTATCAGTGCTTGCCTAGCTCTGAAAGACGAGAACAAAGTCTTACAGGCCAAGCAGCTTATAGTTAATTATAACAAAATGAAAAATTTTCTTTTCTTTTCTTTCCTTTCCTTTAAAAAAAAAAATCTTTCTAGCAGTTACACTTAAGAAAGCTTCAAAGAAAATACTTTGCATGTATTTGTGCAAAAATAAACTAAGTTCCTCATCCTTTATAGTAAAAAATAGCTGTATTGTTACCATGAAGGCTTATTTCTTTCTTTCTTAAAAGGGCATCTTAATCACATGTGGCACACATCGGTACTTAGGCCAGCTTTTACCAGTCCTTCTCATGTACCTCAGAGTTTTAATGCCACTCTTGAACAGGAGCAAACTGACCTACTCAGCATTTATATGAAGCTAAATGCTCTGTGATTTATTCAATCCTAAGTAAACAGACACATGTACAGCATTATACATATAGTGATGACCCTATCATTTTAGAGAAAAGTTTTGTCCTCACTTCAGACAGAGGGTAGTTCAGGTCCAAGAATACAAAGCGATTCTGAGACTCATAGTTTACCTCCATATTCCTTATGTCCACAAGAGGAATAAAAATTGTACAAGAAAATAGTGCAGGTACATTTTGTTTGAACTTGATTACTGTTCTGTTGCAGTGAAAACTGATTTGTAAAATTTCTTTTTCTTAATAATTTATAATGTAAAGATTTTGATGAAACATAGAACCTACTAGGTTGTTTGTTAATAATAATTTTAACAATTTCTATGTAACTTGACAAAGGCTCCCTGAAATCATATTTTGACACATGCTGTGTTGAGATGTAAGCTTCTTTCATTTCTTTTAATTATTAACACATCCCCCAGATGGACTTACAATTATATTTTGTTGCAGCTCATTAATTACGCTAAAAGGAAAACAAATCTCCTTGCTTAAATCCACACAAGATGATGATAGAACTGTGTCAGTGTAACCAGAATATTGGTTACACTTGAATATTTGATTTATAATTGTAAAATACATATTTGTGACACTTGAATCAACATTGTGTTTATATAGTCTGATTTAAAAAAATAACAAATTCCATGGACAACTATTTTAACACAATGCTATTGGAAAACTTGACAAGAAGTTCATACAATAACTGTATACTTCACATACATTTTTAGAATAAAATCTGAGGGAATCCTACTATTGCGGCAATTCTCTGGCACCTCCCCCACCTTAACTTTTTTTTCTTGATACTAAGGATTGATCATACTCTCCTAGCACTGATCTATATCAATATACATTTTTAATTTAATTTTTTTGAGAAAGAGACTATCTTACTATGTCAGCAGTTTTCCCAAGCTGAACTCAAAATGTTATCCTCAAATGTCCTCTCACTGTTACCTGAAATTTCACCAGCCTGGCCTTTACTGTTCACATTTGTATCAACTATCAGTCAGAATCTCCCATTAAATCCTGGACATTGTGTTCTAAAACTTGTATAGCTTACATCTCTACAGTTTCCAACTCCTCTCACAAACCTACCTGAAAGACTTCTGAATCACATGGTCAGGTGTCATTTACAGCAACATCTCCACTTGTCTGGCACTAGTTTTCCTTATTAGTTAGCTTTCCAATTGGTGAAACAAACTATTTGACCTTTTCAACTTACAATAAGAGCAGTTGATTTTGGCTCAAAGTTTCAGAGGCTTCATTGCATGATTGGTTGGCTCCTAGGGAAAATATCGTGGCCCTTAAGCATCTCAAGTGGCTGGAAGCAGAGAACAGGGAGGAAATGAGTGGGAGATAAATCATCCAAAGACATGCCTGTGGTGAGCTATCTTTTCCAAGTAAGCCTCATTTTCTAACAGGATTCAGCCATGAACTTACCAATGGATTAGTCCACTCACAGGGATAACACCCCCTTCATGATCCAACCAACTTTCAAAGCCCTACCTCTGAATACATTAGAGTTTTTCAAGAAATTTTTAACCTCAAGGATAATATTTGTAAAAAAAACTATGGCAAGTTATTGAACTTATAAAATAACCAATGTCTCTCAGAGTAATTATGCCAGGAAAGTGATTGCAGCAGCACGTGCAGAAAAGTTGTTATTATTATCCAGATTTTGGTGTCTTGGTGTTTGATTATATAAAGGATATGTAATATAATTTCATAATGCATATAAGATATGTATTTTCATATATATGACATAACATATATGTCATATAATATGGTAGATATGGTTATACATATCATTTTAATAATACTTAAGTATATATTTCAGTGACAGTGGTGTAGTCCCATCCTTGTGCAATCATTGTCATTAAATGTCTACATATCTCTTTTCATTAGTCTAGCTTGGCAAGCTGCTATGGCATCTGGACCTAAAATGTCGGCCCCCCAGTGTCTGATAGAAAATATTAATGAGCAGCTGTCAGTGAACCAGGAAGCCATACAGATTCTTGGTAGGATTTCGAATCCAGTGGTGGTGGTGGCCATTGTTGGACTGTACCGTACTGGAAAGTCCTACTTGATGAACCGCCTGGCAGGAAGGAACAGTGGTGAGTGCTGTCTTGGAGTGGATTCAGTTGCTTGATATCTGCTACATCTCAGCTTCTTATTTTTGTCCAGTATGTGAAGGTGGATCCCAACTCTTTGCAAAGAACCAAGTGTCACATTTTAATTCTGTCCACCAAATTAATACTTTGCTTTCATTTTTGTGCATATTCTTTTCTTATTGTTTTTGAAGATAATATATTCTTCTAAAGCTCATTATTCCACCTTTTCTTGCATCCTCAATCCTAGGCTTCTGTATTTTTCTGCTTAGGCAACATATTGTGCCTTTTTTATATAATGTTCCTGTCTCAATATAGAAACTCTTCTTCTGGGAGTTTAGCTCAGCAGCACAAGTGCCTTCCTGGCAAGTGCGAGATCATACATTCGATCCACGGTACCAAAAAGATAAATAAGAGGTGGAGGGCGGGGGAGAGACCCTTAAATGTTTGGCATCTTTAAGATGCTCCTCAAGCTTCCCATCTCATTATGACTGCCAACTCTTGCTGTGTGCTTCATTTTTTCATGCTTAGTATCTTTTTAATACAAAATATATTCCAATTTCCTTTTTGTGCTTCTTTTTTTCTTCTCATATCCCTCTTTAGTTTGTTCCTCTCTGACTGCATCTGATCCTTTTTTACCAGTAGTATTTTTGTAGTCACCAGAGGTCTCCATTTTGTCAGATTCCTGGATGCCTCTTTGTCGCCCTCTTAAGCCATTTAATGTCAGTATTCTTACATTTAATGCCCTCCGCCCCAGTCCTAAAACATAACTTACAAAGTAGTACATCCTTATGGACATAGACAAGGCCCTAATCATTTCTAACTGGAGTATTCACGGTTTCTGATGAAGCTTGACCTATCTTCCCTCTGTTACTTGGTGGAGCTCTGCTCACTTTCCGATGTTTCTCCTCTTCCCTTCAGGTTTCCCTCTGGGCTCCACAGTGCAATCTGAAACCAAAGGCATCTGGATGTGGTGTGTGCCCCACCCAACCAAGCCAAACCAAACGCTGGTCCTTCTGGACACTGAGGGGCTGGGTGATGTAGAAAAGGTAAGAAAGAGAATCTTGGGCTGATCTTTTTGCTCGGAATGGTTTCTTTTCAAGACCCTTCTTTTCAAGACTTGATTGTTGTGATCTGTTTATGAGATATAAGAAATCAAACTAATGAAAGAGGCAAGTTTTGTACTGCTTGAATCTTGTTTCTAGCTAAGATTCAATATCCTGATATTTAAGGTCAAATACTCATTTCTTGACACATGGCTGAACAACTTCAGTATAAGCACAACATTGAACAAGTGAGTTTCAGCATCAAGGACAGGAGTACAGTATTTAGTGAACAGGATTAAAGCTTGGTCCCCACAGAGTCTTCAGTCCCATTTTAGGGACTACCTGGTGACAGGCAAAGAAGCAAGTTGAAGAGAAAAAGAGACTGCACTGAGCAGTCCCCGGCCTCTGTCAGTTTGCAGGGACACATGTGATTGGAACTGCTCTTTGGAGATATCCTCTGTTGAGGGAGGGGTGCTGAGTTGTTAACCAGTTCAGTAACTGGAATTTTACCCTGGAAAATTGTTTCACAAGAGAGCTGACATTTGTGGAATGTTTTCCACCAATTCTGCCAGACTTGCTCAATGAGTTTTTCAGTTGTGGAAGGCGATGTATGCTCACATTACTCTTTCACCACATATAGTTATCTGAAGTGGAAGCCGGTGAGGTGCCAGCCCCACTTTAATGGCTGAGGAAAAGTCTCTGATCCACTTTCAATCTGCAAATGAAGTAGGGATTTGGGAGTTCCTTATGATGAATTTCCCTAACTATCCATAGAACATTCTGGAAGTTTCTGAGAGACCTCTAAATGGGCTAGTTCTATACAACATTTTTTATGGTAAACATTCTAAGATGGAGTTTTGTTGTTTTAGCTTCCAAACAATGTAATGACTTGTCTCTTTTCCCTCTTCCTTTATACTTATTTGAAAAGTGTATAAATTTAAACATGAATGGTTTCTGTCCAAAGAGGAGAGAGAAATTTAATTTTTTAAGTTTTATTGAGACATGATCAACAAAATGTACACTTGGGTATATATTTTGAGTGGCATTTTCTCATATATCATGAAACAACCACTTAAGTAAAGTATCCGGACCTGACATAAGTGATGTTTTTCCTTTTTGTAGTGTAAACACACAAGATATATTCTTTTAGCAAATTCAAATATAAGATGTTGTATTGTTAACTATGGTTACTATACCATTCTTTAGATCTCCAGAAATTATTTATGTTACATAACTAAAGCTTCATTTCTTTTGTGTATGATCTCTGCATTTCTCACACCATTCGAACCTTACAAAACACTATTCTATTCTCCAATACTATTTTTTTTACTCTTTTGTAATCCACCACTTGATGAAACAATGAATATTTGTCCTTTGCATTTGGTTTATTTCACTGAGCATAACATTCTCAAAGTAATTTTTGGTTGATGTAAAAGTAGGATTCTCTTCCTTTCTATGGCTAGACAAATGTATTCCACATTATATTTATTCATTCATCCACTGATAGACAATTAGGCTTGTCTAAGATGTTTTTTAAAATTTTTATTCATTAATTTATTTTAAATTGTATTTAAAGAAAGACTAAACAAGACAGAAAAATGGTAGAAATAATACATACGTTCAGAGAAAAAAATAAACAGAAATCACTAGTTGATGTTTACATGTTGTCATTTTACAAATAGTTGTTCAAGATACAAAAATGGAACATGTAAAGTGGAATTCAAACAGCGAGACTGCAAACAGTTCTGTTCAACTGTTCAACAAAAAATTAGTAACATGATTATCAATTCTACACACTTAATCATACATGCAGTTATCCATATCTTCATTTATATTGAGATTAAACAAACTAAAGCAGGTTAAAATCATTCTGAACAAAGAATAATAATATTGTTGGATTTCACATCATGACACTCCATGATCAACACTGGATACTGTACTGTCTGTTTTTAAAATTTAATTTAAAGAAAGACTAAACAAAACAGAAAATGGGTAGAAATAATATGTAATTTCAAAGAAAAAAATAAACAGTAAGAAACCACTAGTTGATGATCACAGATTGTCTTCTTACAAATAATTATTAAAGATACTAAAGTGGAGCTTATAAAGTGGGGATTCAAACAGTGAGATTGCAAGCAGTTCTTCAACTATCCAACAAAAACTTAGCAATATGGTTATCAATCCTATACACTTAAACATACATGCAGCTATTCATCTATTCAGTTATGCTGAGATTGAATAAACCCAAGCAGGCTAATATCATTCTGAACAAAGAATAATACTATTGCTAGGTTTCATATCATGACACTCTGGGATCAGCACTGGGTATTTTAGTGTCTCTTTTTCTTCAGAGTATCTGTTCATTTCCTCATGTGTCATATGTTCAGTTATCATAAACTTCTACAGATTCTACACATGCATGAGTCTTAACATGTATTTCTATCCTTTCTATATTAGAGGGAGAATCAAAACAAAACAAGGCAAAACAAAACATATTCCTATAAATACATGAAATGAAATAAACATATAAGATCATTGTACAAATCATTCTACCATAGTTCCTGTGTTGTCTCTTGTTATCGCCAATAGAATTGGCTATATCATCAGACATAGTATAATTGAATATGTCAGCACATAACAGTATTAATAAAAACACAACTTTGTATGTAGTGTAGAACTTCAAAAACCAGCAGTTATCAAACCAGAATGTGTATTGAGTCTTGTCATCTTCAGTGTAGTTGCCTATACTCTTAGACTTGATACTATAAATCATATCAGTTTTGAATAAAATCTTCTCTGTCTCATTTCTGTTATGCTCTTTTTTGGGCCATCAGTTGTCTGCTTATCTTCTTCATTCCGTTTTTTGCTCCATTCATTAAGGTCTCTCTGCCACTGTTCCTGGAAACCTAGTACTTTTCTCTCTTTCTAGAATGCCCTGCAGTATTCTCTGTAGAGTTGGATTGGTGGTTGCGAATTTCCCAAGTTCCTCTTTGTCTCGGAAGCATCTTGTTTCTCCACTGATTTCTACAGACAGTTAGCAGGGTATATCAATCTGGGATAGAGGTTATTTTCTTTCAGGGTTTGGAATATTTTGCTCCAGGCTCTTCTTGACTTGATGGTTTGTGTTGAGAAGTCTGCCATTATTCTGAAGGGCATTCCTCTGTAGGTTATCTGTTTCTTGTCTCTAACAGTTTTTCATATTCTGTTCTTATATTGAATTTCTGGGATCTTGATTATTATATTCCTGTGTGTAGCTCTGTTTTGGTTGTAGATGGCTGGAGTTCTGTATGCCTCATATATAAGGATAACATTTCCTTTTCCTGTGTTTGGGAAGTTTTCCTTAATTTTTTCTGTGAATAACCTTTGTAGTTCCTTTGTTTTTATCCCAGCTTCTTCACTTACATTCTTTATTCTCAAGTTATAGATCCTTTTGTCATCTTTTAGCCTTCATGTTATTGCCTCTTTCCTTGTTATTTTTAAAAAGTTTTCCCTTTCATACTCCCACATTGCAAAATTGTCTTCCAGTTTGGATAATCTATCCTTAGTTTCTTTCAAACTGATTTGCCATCTTTCCATAGTTTTTAATTTCCTGGTGATTTCTTTGAATCTGCTTCATGTATTCTATATTTTTTTATATTCTTCACCAAATGGTTCTCTCCTGTGTTTGAGTTCCTCTCTTCTTCTGTGTCTGCTTGAGGGATGCTTAGTATCTCTTTTATTAGTCTTCTTGTATCTTATTTTATTTGGCTAAATATTTCACTTTTGAACTCGTCTATGAGGTCCCAAATATATCTCTTTATGCCCACTGGCGCTGTGTCTGATATTGCATGTTTGCTGTTCTTGTTCTCCTTTGTTTACCCGTCCTGGGTCAATGTTCTCCGGATTGGGACCCGGGGACTTTTTTTGTTGCTTCCTCTTCCCATCTTTTTTGCTTCTTCCAGGAAGCCCCAGTTTCTTTCTTTGTTGGTTACAATTCTTCTGAAGCACACTGGCTAGATGACCCTTTACACTGCAGTGTGCTAGTAAGTTGCAGACAGGGACAGCATATGCTGACCCCTCCTCTTCAGAGCAGTCAAACTGCTGTGGCCTGCACTACTGTATTACTTTGCGCTGCCTGCCCTCCAGACCAGCCAAACCTCTAAGGTCCCACTGGCCAGCGTGGTTAGTGTGTGTCACTGCTACAGGGACTTGACCTCAGAAAACCTATTGGGTCTCAGCTGGGTCACGTAACCCAGGCCTAGCTCACTCCATCAGTCCCATTCAGGAAGGGAACAATTGACTGAAGTCATTGCTGCCCCTTGTACTTTCCAGTCCTGCCCAGTCCCCGAATATCATCTGCCGGAGCCCCACTCTTTAAGGAATGGCTCCACTCCCATCACTTACCACAGGATGATGTAGGCTCCCCGCCAACTCAGCTCTCCATTCAGCTTGCTGACCCTCGAACTCAATGTAACTGTGCCTCCAGTGTGTCGAAGCAGTGGGACCTCGGACAGCTAGGCAAGTTGCCTTAATTTCTTCTTGGGATGAAAGAATTCATTTCCCTCTGTTTGGGGCTCCCCACTCTGTATTATGTTCAGCTTGTTTAAAATCTTATCTGTTACAAATAATGGTGCAATAAATATAGAAGTACACATTTCTTTTTCAGGCACTGATGTCATTTCTTGGGTTCCATACCTAGAATGAGATTTCTGGATTATGTGATGATTCTATTTTTAACATTTGAAGAAAACTATATAATATTTTCTGTAATGTCTACACTAACTTATATTCTGAATGATAGATACAAGGATTTGTCCCTCAATCCTCATTAACACTTGCTGTGTTCTGCTTTTTATGAAAGTGATATGAATAAGTGTCATTTTATGTCTTCTGTTGGCTTAGTTTTGTATTTTTCCTGATGGTTAGTGACAATTAACATCTTTTCATTAATCTACTAATCATTTATCTTCTTTCTTTAAAGAAATGCATGTTGGAATTGTTTGTTTATTTTCAATTACATTATTTGGTTGGCTTTGTTATTGAATTGTGGAAATTTCTTAACTATTTTAATATTAACCATTTATGCAAAACTTTTTCTGCCATCCTGTAGTTTCCTTTCTATGTGCCTGATTCCTCTCCAGTCAGGAACCATTTTAGTTGAATGCAATCCCACCTGTCCAATTTTTTTCTCTGTTATCTGTCATCTTTGGTATCGTACCAAAAAAAAAAAAAAAAAGTAAAAAACCAAACGCATCATCACTCCATTATAAAGAGGCATTTTCCCTTCATTTCTTCTCATAATTTTATTGTTCAAATATATTTTCCTCCCTATAAGAAATTTTGTACTTCTTACCTCACCATCTCCAAACTATATATTTTTCTTGAATATGATGTATCACCCAGTAAATATGCACAGAATGAAGACATGCTAATTTCTACCATTGTATACACTACAGAAACCCTGGCACAGTAATAGTGTTTTTGTATGTTTTCTTATTTCCTATAATTTGTGGAAAGTAGAATTTTATGAAGATTACAATCTTCCTTTAGTATGAAATTATTATAATTATTATAATGGTCAGAGCTGTCATTTGCATTAATGTCTGTCTTCTTTGCATTGAAATTGTGAACAAAAGACTGATAGAATGAATGCCTGAATGAAATTCTAGAGTAGACTGCTAGATACCTGTGCTTTCTAGGGTGATCCTAAGAATGACTCCTGGATCTTCGCCCTGGCCGTGCTTCTGAGCAGTACCTTTGTCTACAACAGCATGGGCACGATCAACCACCAGGCCCTGGAGCAGCTGTAGTATCCTTTCAGGACCTCAGCCACCAGATGATACTAGAGGTTTTGGGAAAATAGTATTGAATTACTTTTTTTCTTCTCTGTGGCTTATTTGAGTTTGGTGGATCATGAGTGACCTAGGATAAAAGAGAATGTTAATGATACATTTTAATAAGGAGAACCTAGCAATTATTAGTAGGAATATTCTTTTCTTTAACCAAGTCTAGTTACGTGACAGAACTCACAGAACTAATCAGGGCAAAGTCCTCCTCAAATTCTGATGGAGTAAAAGATTCCACAGAGTTTGTGAGTTTCTTCCCCAGCTTCATCTGGACTGTTCGGGATTTCACTCTGGAGCTGAAGTTGCAAGATCAGCCTGTGACAGCGGATCAGTACCTGGAGCATGCCTTGAAGCTGATTAAAGGTACCAGAGCAAAGTCTGGGTCAGGGAGTTTCTGGAGGATAGATGTGCTGTCATTATCCACAATTTCTAAGGTTTCATTTGGAATTGGCTGCACAACCTTAGAAATAGTGACTGGTGTATCAGTTGAAAGCTCTAAAATTTGGAGTTTTAATTTACTTAAAATGGGGTCGATCATGACATACATGGGTAGATCATGACATACATGGGTAGATCATGACATACAGTGAAATTATTCAAAAACCTAGTGATTATTTACATAATTCATACTTTAGCATCCAGAGTCCAATGAATGCATCAAGTTTCTAAAAACAGTCCCTTGCATATTCTATTTTAATGTCTGCTTTCTCCATTTAAAACAACTGGTCGCACAATTTTTAAACTTGATATTGCAGTGCAGAGTTGGTTCTATGTGTGTGTGTGTGTGTGTGTGTGTGTGTTTCATGTGGTGAGACATTATGCTTTTCAAGAAGGTATAAAACTTCCTAATAGTGGTGTAATTTTCTAAAAGTGACCTAACAAAAATATATATATTCTAAGTAAATTAGAGGGAGCAATTGCATTTATCTTAACATTGCCTGTTACATGTTTGCTACCATACATTCATTTTCTTTACATGGATAACACATATTTCTGTTAACTCCTATATATATTTATGCTTTTGTTTCAAAATAAATATTAGTATCGGACTGATTATTTATAAATTATATAAATGTTTATCCAAATATTTTATGAAAAAAATGATTTTTGATTTTTTTTTTGAGACAGGTCTTGCTATGCAGGTCAGGCTGGCCTTGAGCTCACTTTGTAGCCCAGGCTGGTCTCGAACTCACAATGATCCTCCTGCCTCAGCCTCCTGAGTGGGATTACAGGCATAAGCCACCATAGCTGGCTGATTTATTCATTCTTGTTTTTCTACTACGGATTTCTCAAAACATTCACTGAAAATTTGACAAACAGGAAAAAGAAACATAATCTTTTATCACAAGGACTTACTGTGTAAAATTTTAAAAGTTAGATTTCATGGTATGAGTGTATTGGACACATGCAGATAGTATAGTGATTACTGTCATGTAGCAGAGAACATATCTATCATCTTATATAGGTATTTTTTTGTGATAAAAGTAGGTAAAATTAACTTATTTCAGTAGAAGTTTTACAATAGTTTTTTTTTGGGCTAGGGATATAGCTCAGCAACACATGCACCTGCCTGATAATCCCAAGTTCATAAGTTTGCTGTGGTACCAAAAAAAATAGTTTTGTTAATTCTAGCCTCATTTTGTAATGGTCTCTAGACTTGTACATGCTATATATCTGCTGCATTTTGTCTTCTAGCCTACATCTCTTCATTTCCCCTTTATCCGTGGCAACTGGTGCTTTATTGCTATCTCTGTATTTGGAAATTTTAAATGAAATATGTTTATCATCAAAATGGATTTTCTTAAATTGTCATGATAGCATTTTTCATATTCTAAGATTTTAATAGCATTTCATTGTCTCCTGTAAGTCTCTTCATTTTGGTACTGCAATTCAATTTCAAGGAAGGACTGAGTAGACTAGAAATATATATTTGAAGTTTTACTCATTCAGTAAACATCAAATAAACTACTACTCTATGACTGGTGCCATATTCAAGTTTGAGGAGATCAATCAACTCTTCTTTTTTATTGAAATTATCTCAGTCTACTTATCTATCATCTATCTATCAAAAAATCTTGCCAATAAAATCATTGGTACAAGTTTGATATATAAAAAATATTACATGCTTATATTAAAGGTATTGTGTGAATGTAGAACACTGCAAAGATACAACAATTTCTAAAAAACAAACAAACAAACCTTTTGTCTCCGTGTCTCAAGACTATCCTATCTTATGCTCTTTTCCCATTCCTTAGGTAACAATCCCAGAGCACAGAAATCCAATCTTCCCAGGGAGTGCATCAGGAATTACTTTCCATATCGGAAGTGTTTTGTCTTTGATTGGCCAACAAATGACAAAAATCACCTACTCAAACTGGAGAACATCTCAGAAGACCAACTGGACCCTAAATTCCTAGAACAAACACACAGTTTCTGTTCTTATGTCCTCACTAATGCACAGATCAAGACCCTCAAAGAAGGAATTGTTGTCACTGGGAATCGTGAGTCTTATTTACATATGTCTGGAAGGACTAATACATATTGAATAGACTACAAAATAAGCACAAATTAATTTTAATTATTATTACCACAGTATACATATATTTAAACTCTAAAATATGTGTATAATTTATAATGATTTGATTTGTTGAAGATTATAGGCTCCTCTTCAAAACTGTATAGCTTTTCACAAGAATGTGTAGTTTCTACATATTTGAAAAAAAAATCTTCCATTTGTAATGAAATTACTGTGTAAAAATAGATATAGACTACTTAATGAGAGAGAGCCGCAAATGTAAATTCTTGTTTACAGCGAGAATAGGAAACATGGGGCTGGGGATTTAGCTCAGCGGCATAAGCACCTGCCTTGAAAGCTCACGGTCGTGAGCTCGATCACCGGTACCGATAAAAGAGAGAGAGAGAGAGAGAGAGAGAGAGAGAGAGAACAGGAAACATTTCTAAAAGTCTAAATCAGCCTGAATATAAATGCTAACCTCTAACTCTCTGAAGGTCCATTGAAAGTTTCAGAATTTGGAGCAAATATACTGAGAAAACTTACCTCATTAGTTTTTTATACAATCTGTTTTTCTTCAGTTATCTTTCTTCCTTTCTTTCTTTCTTTCTTTCTTTCTTTCTCTCTTTCTTTCTTTCTTTCCTTCTTTTTCTTTTTTTGGTGGGAGGATTTGTTTCTGTCTGTAGGGTTTCTGTATTTATTTTATTTACTAAGCTTACAGGTACATTTGAGGTTTACATAATGACCACATTCATTACAGGGCACTTGTGCCTGTACATGATATATTTTGACTTTTTTTCCTATTCCCCATACACTCTTTTCAACACCTTTCTCTTTTCATTTACAAAAACATTGTTTCCATTTTTTAATTTTTCTTTTTCTATAAAATTTTAATTTGGAAATTTTGTTTTCCATGCACTTTTTATTAGATGAAGATAGACATTAAACAGTTTTTTAACATATTTGAATTGGAGAGCAATGGAAATGACAGATTAAGAGGTGAGTGAGGATGAAACTAGGAAGTAGGTGTACATGTGGGAGAGAGAAAGAGAGGCGTATGGATTTTAGGAAGTTAGTCTAATAATCTTAGAACCCATTGATTATACGTTTCCTATTTATCCTCTACAATTCCTGGATCATTCAGGGCTGGGGGCTCTGGTGGAGACCTACGTGAAGGCCATCAACAGTGGGGCCGTGCCTTGCCTGGAAAACGCAGTGACCACTCTGGCCCAGCGTGAGAACACAGCAGCAGTGCACAAGGCAGCTGACTTCTACAGTGAGCAGATGGCCCTGCGCCTGCGGCTCCCCACAGACTCGCTCCAGGAGCTACTGGACGAGCACATAGCCTGTGAGAAGGAGGCCATCGCTGTCTTCATGGAGCTCTCCTTCAAGGATGAAGACCAGGAATTCCAGAATCAGCTGGTGGTACTGTTTCTTTCCAGTACTTTTCTTGATCTTTCCTGTGATGAGGTGATTTTATTAAACTTGTCGTTTATTTCTCATTCCAATGTAAAAATTTTGGATTGTCGTTGAGAATGGAATTTCTAAACTTCATGCCACCTCAAAAATAAATAAGTAAAAACAAAAGACACCTTCAGGTATATTATACACAATCTTTCTGGGGAACTGAAACATAATCAAAGGAAATGTCATCCTTAATACTTGAAGTGAGTTCTGGTAAATATTTCTGTGAACTGCAAGCCTTCCTAGAACTCCCTCTCTCTCTAATTATCGTGGATATGTTTGCTTTTTTTACTGTGTCCTGGTCTGTCCATGAAACCTTAGTTTCTCTTAGCTCATTCTTCCAGGGCATTGCACATTGTTGCAGTTTGTGCCATTGAACATACAACCAAAGGACACAAAGCTCTAAGAAACCATAGACATTGTGGAATGCAGTAACTTTACTTCACAGATAACTTTTGAGATCCCAAAAGTTTCTGAGTTTACCACTACCTGGCAGGAAGTTTTCAGCGTTTTGCATATGTCTAGTTGTATAACTTCTCACTCATCACACATCTTAATAAAGTAGAAAAATTTTCTCATAAAAGAACAGGATGACCTTTCTACTAGGTTGTCTGAGATATTATGTCCTCTCCAAGACATTTTTTTTCTGGTTCTATCTCTGTACATTTCTCTTGCAGAAAATTATAGAGAATAAGAAGGCGGATTTCTTGCTGAATAATGAAAAGGAATCTGATCAATACTGCCAGGATAAAATGAATCTACTTTCAAAAGCATTAATGGAAAACATTTCAGCAGGAACTTTCTCTGTTCCTGGAGGGCACCAGCTATACATGGAAGCAAGGCAAAAAGTTGAAAAGGACTATTGGCAAGTGCCTGGGAAAGGAGTCAAGGTGAGGAGCAGAGTAACCTGGAAAAGTTTAGGGACTAATATGCAGGCTGTTCCAGAACTAAGTGTGAGAAATAAGAAAACAGGAATCGTGTAGAATGTTTTCCCTCCTCTTTAGGAAAGGGGATCCAAACTAGGGTCTTAGCATGCTAAGATTGTGCTAGAGCAGTGGGCTACTCCCAGAAACCCAGTTTTCATTTTAATTCTTCATATTTCCTTTATATTCCTGAAAATAAAAATGCTCATTTCTAAAGAATCTAAGGAGTTCAGGAATCCAAGGAGAAACAAAAATTGTTCATTTCATCATCTAAGATGACAACTCACAATGTGCTTAGAACTCCTAGTACAAGATATTTACATCGTTGGTTAGAGGTTTTCCTCTCCAGCCTGACCAAAATAAGAGAGACAAGATTAACCAAATAGACATGTGCATATTCTGTAGCATTACTTATGAACTTGCAAAAATGGCAGATATAAAAAATAAAAAATGTCAGATATAGATTGTGGTAATAAATCTCATGATGGTACAACTACCATGTATTGAACTGGTATTGCTGATTAATTTAGCAATAAGGTCATTCTCTGAATTTTTAATTTCATTCTCCATACAGCTTTACATAATATATATTTATATCATGGGCAATTTACACTAGCAAACTGAGAAGTCTTCACAGATTAAATAACTTTCATAGAGAAAAAGCCAATAAGATCTGGACAATGCAGCACAGTTTAGAACCAACACTTCTTGTTGGAAAACAAATATAGGAAAACATCAGAGGTTGTGGTTTTTACACATGAACATGATTCTGACTGGCTGGAACCTAGAGGAGGTGGCAGGGAGGAGCCCAGAAGACTAGAGGGAGAGAGATGGGAGCAAAAGATATAGATTGGTCTCTGGTTACACTGAGTAGACAGCCACTGTAAAATTTAGTCATGAAACAAATTGGCATATATGTACTTATTTTCCAGAAATATTCTCAAAATGGTAAATAAGATTTTTAATTCTCGGACTCACAGGCAGGGGAGGTCTTCCAGAGGTTCCTGAAGTCACAGGCAGCAATAGAAGAATCTGTTCTGCATTCAGATAAAGCTCTTAGTGATGGTGAGAAGGCTATGGCAGGTAAGAGGATTAGACAACTCCCAAGGGTGAGCAGATTGCTACAATGACCCTGAAAGATCCAACAAGAAGTTTTTCCACATACTGGTAGCATTCTTCCTCTGTGAAATGCACACTCTGGTGAACGTGAAATAACATGGGGGAGCTTTGGTTGTTTTAGCTAGAAGGATAGATCCTTCCCCATGACCTTCTAAACTGTTCTGTGGGTGGTGTGGAGTTGCATGAATTCTGTGATTACCTTTCATATTTGATTTCATCTCTTAGCTCAGAAAGGCAAATATTAGTTTTCAATTTTTTATTTCTTTCCTCTCTAAAATTTTCCTGGTGCAGCTGAGAAGGCCAAGAAGGAAGCAGCTGAGAAGGAACAAGAACTTTTAAGGCAGGAAGTACAGGAACAAGAGCAGAAGATAGCAGCTCAAGAGAGGACTATGAAAGAAAATATGGAACAACTAGAAAAGAAGCTGATATCGGAGAGAGAAAACATCCTAAGAGACCAGAAAAAAATATTAGATCAGCAACTTAAGGTAGGTGTTCCCCTTCTCAGTAATTCCCAGTGTCACTTGTGCTTTGTTAGGATGGTGAAGGTCAGGGCCAGATCATGGAAAAAGGCACCACAGCAGTTTGGTGCTGGAGATTCATTGAAGCTGGCATCCTGTGATTTATTATTTTTTAGGTGGCTGCTTTGAATTTTGCTCCATATACAGGCTCTGAAAATTCAGATTATCTTGATTTCTGTGTTTCCTTGGATAATATGAAAAGCATTTATATTTTGGGAGTTCATAAAATGATCTCACAAGGGCCTGATTAACCAGGACCTGAATAAACAGAATTTTAGCCAACTTTTGTCAATAACAGCAGCAACTGGTTTGCACTAACAAAACCCATACTATCAGGAGTCCTACTTTCACCAAAGACCCTGAAGTACGTCCATGCTGACATAAAACTATCAGGAATGTCCACACTTAAAAGCACAAGTGATAACACATAAACCCACTATACTTGTCTCTAGGTGTCCTAGTTAGTTTCCTGTAGGTGATACAAAAGCTTCAACATTCCATCTTAGACAGGCTCCAAGAGGGACACAACTTGGCAAAGAAAAGAGGGCTCAGACAATGGCAATCAGGAAGCAGACAGAGAGGGGAGGAGCTGGAGACAAGAATACTCTCATCCTGGTCATGCCCCCAGTGACCCACTCCAATGAGGCCCAACAGACTAACAGCACATCCACCTACTGAAATCATCAATGGATAAATGCCCTGATAAGAACAGCACTCTGATGATCCAATCTGTTTTCATACATGTGAGTGTTTTGAAAGATATGTCAGATCTCAGCCATATCACCATATGTGGACAGCCTGCCAAGACTAGCATGTGGCATCAGTTCAAATTTTGCTCCTACCCATCTGGAAATTGTAGAACAGACTTTATATGAGTGGACAAGTTCCAGTGATCACTGTTATATGGTTATCATACTGCCCAAGAGAAATGGAGAATCTGAGCAACCAGAACAATGAGATTTTTGTTGTTGTCATTTTCATATCTTGGCATAGCAGAGATGAATGGTGAATGAATAATAACAATTTAAAACTATGCTTCTGCCTACACAAATCTATGTTGAATTCAGATAATATAGTTTGTTGCTAAGTTAAATTATTCCCATGTAATTGTAAAAACATTTAGGGGTGATATAAATACAGTTTTCCAAATTTTTTAAAAGTACAACTCGTAAAATAGAAGTATTATAAATATTTTATTTAATTCTCTGTTTTTACTCAATTCTTTCAGTTGCAAAAGGATTATCTTGAAGAAGGATTTAGGAATAAATCTGCAGCAATGAATGAAGAAATAAATAACTTGAAGAAAAGAATACAATCCATGGAAAATGATGGCGCATCTTTCATTGAGCAAGCCTTGATTGGCTTTGGGAGAGCAATAGCTTCAGTAGTGTTTGCTCCTGCTACAATAATGGTTGGATTTGTAAAGGGAATTTCTTCAATCTTTAAATAAAATTATCTCTACTTCTAAAGAAATGATAGATTTTGAATGTATGCTTTGGTTTATTTTTGGTGCATGTGGTTGGCATTTGCATTCAGCCCAGTTTTAAAATAAAAGGAGCTTACTGGCTCACATCACATAGAACAAATGCATGTGACTGTTTAAAAGCAATGTTATCCTTTAAGATACAAATGCTTACAATAATATGTATGTAATAATATATATAAAGAAATCATGATATTTATATACAAGGCAGATAGACACTATTATAAAATGGATAAATTTCTATAGCAAAATGGATGCACCTTGAGGCTTTAAAGTTAAGGAAAATGAACCAGACACATAAGCTTAAATATCACATGATTTCTCTTATAAGACAAATTCAAAATAGAGTGAAATAAAAGATAACAGGAAATAGAAGATGGATTTTTTTTTAATAGGAAGGGATAAAGAGATGAAATGGGTGAGGAGGGGAAGGGGAATAGGATGAAAAATATTTAAGATGTGTAACATGAGTGTACCACTTCCCCACAAGAGATCACATAATCATTATGAACTGTAACCATGAATTAATAAAATATCAACATTAAAAATAGAATATACTGTGGTAAGAAACATCTTGCCTAATTTTAAGATGTTGTTCAGTATTTTCCTTTCTGTGGTGGCCAGAGCAGAAAAATAAACACGAATTTTCAGAACCTAATGGAAGGTGATAGGCATGGTTATAGAGAGGTTGGTTCTACCCAGGAATCTTTAGAATCCAAGCAGATGTATTTGCAGTAATGAGCTGCATCATCATAATGATGAACTGTGTGTCCTGTCCAAGGAGAGTTCTGAAGATGAGGAATAGATTCAAAAGTAATGAGGAGAGAGAAAAAATGATATCAAGGATAGTTTCCATGAACTTGAGAGATAACTCCAGTAATATTTCCCATCCTTACATTTGATCTGAGCTAACTTTACACTCCAAACTCATCAGCTGCCAATGTAGATGGGATCCTAGGGTTAAGAACTCTGAATATCTTGGGCAGGATAACTAATGAGTTTCCATGTGTTCTGTTTCTAAGACACCTATGGACACTTACCCAGAATCTCTGTAATGGAAAAATTGGAATGCCTCAAAACTACCTTAGGCACATATGCGGAAGTCTCAAACAGAAATTCTGAAATAAAAAGAATAAAAATATCTAAGAAGGCAATGTGTATGTGTAAAACAATAAAATATATTGATTGCATGAAACTACTTTAAGAATGCATTTTGATTACAAAAGAGAAAGTGAGATTAACATAGAACAACTGAGTCAAACGGGCTATAGTTCAAGTATTCTAGCTCTTGACATTATGATGGAGAAGAAGGTGAATAATTTTGACAATGAAAATTTAAGGATCAATAATATCTCATAATATAAGCAAACAGAGAACAGAGAAAGTCTTAAATTCCATTCTGGAAGACGTAGAAATTAACTTGATATATCTCAATATTTCAAAAATAATAAAAGGGTAGATCAAACACATAGAAAACTTATAATGTTTCAAGAAATTGTTGTGTACAGCAACTGCCCCCAACTGAGTGACCCCCCCAACTCTCTTTGGGTCTTTGCCCTCAATCTGAGGAAGGATGAGGAAGTAGGGCTCTTAGCAGAAAATGGTGGAGTCAAGGATGGTATAGTAGGAAGCAAAAAGTTACATTAAGTGTGCCAAATACAGAGAAACAGAGGAGAAGCTGTCTTAGCAACAAAGTGGTGCTGCAGGATAGGAGCACCCACGTGACTATGAGGTGCTCTTCCTACTGACAGGTTAAGCTTGTTTCCAAAAGTAACTCTTTCACTGATATGTGTTCTAGGTTGGTCAAGGTCTAAACTTTAGTTTCTGGAAGGTAGATATGGCCAGTACAATGTAAATGCAAGGATAAAAAGGTACATTTTCTTAAGTACATAGCAAACAATAAGCATGTGATGATCCTACATTTGTCAGACACAGACAAGCAAGTGATGATTTTACAATGCTGGCCATCAGTGTTTTGTCCCATAATTTTTGCCCTTACAATAAGATTAACAAATTTGACCTACTTGTGTTAGTATGGTATCCTCATTCAACAACAGTAGAATACGTACTCTTTTTAAGCACACTTGAGATCTTCACCCTGAGTTTCTCCATACTTGAGCACAAATCAGGACTTAATGGGCTTTCTGTCGTATTCCCAAGAGACAGGGTCTTGTCCATAGATTCCTCAGTAAGAGATTGCAGAGGCAGTGCCCTCAGTAGAACCGGGCTGACAGAGAGATCGAAGACAAAATTTTAAAACCACAAAGCTCTACAAAATCTAAGGGAACCTCCTGTAACCAGTTCCATAAAAGATTAGCTAAAGGATCTATCATACCTATAGACACCCCCTGCACACACACATAATCCACATGCATAATAACTACCTTTATAAGGTGCAGATACCCTGCTTTAGACCCATCATTCCAGAGTATAAGTGCCCATTCAGACAACTGTTGGAGAATTTGCCAGAATGAGACAACCTATTAGAAGCGCTCTCTGAAGAGATGAGGCACTCAAAGCCCTGCTGTGGTCACTCTGGGTGCTCATAAGTCCACACATGCCTGAAACCTGAGGACAACACACACAGGATTGCTCTACACCTCAATACATCATTCTCCTTGATTTTTGTGTTCTTTCAGGTTTCATATCCCAGTCTTTGCTTTTATTTCAGCACTGCTCTCTTGCTAGCTGTGGTTTAGAATAAAAAATGACCACTAAGGCCCTTTACCTTATTCTACAGTTGACCAAGATTTGGGGAGAGTCCAATGCTCTCATCACTGGACAAACTCCAGGGTAAAACTGATTACCCTGACAGAGTAATGTTAAAACATGGCTTCTCCTAAAAGCAATTCAGCCTAAACCCTGTATTAAGGAAAAAAAAAATCATAAACTTCAGGTGGGAAAACTACAGTGTTGGGGACTTTACAGAGGGCCCATTCTGGAACTACTCAATTTTACTGTTGATAATTGGGTGTTGTCTCAAAAGATTACATGTAATGTGCCTAGCAAAGACTTGCTAGGGAAATGAAAAGAGAGAGTTAATGTGACAGAAAACCCCTCCAGCCAGTTTGCTAGTTGCTCAGGTAATAGTTCCTGTTACTATTGTCTCCTACAAAGAGACTCCTATTGTCTCCTCCTGGTCACTGAATGTACATTCTAAGAACCAATCAAAGACAGTCAAATACTCCACCTCACAACTTCCCCTTTCAACCTCATAATAGGTGCTCTTCCTGCACCTTTTATGCTTGACATTTCGAGGGACAGTTGATTCCCTATCACCTCTCATCATAACCTGCCTCTAAATTCTGGGTTCTGTTTTGGTGTTTCTGCTTGCCATTTCAATTTATGAGCATTTATCTAGAAGGAGAGAATTCAGAGAAAAAATGGAGAAAGAGCAAAAGGTGAAGGAGAGAAAACAAGAAAGAAAGAGGAGGGGGAAAAAGTAGAAGGAGAGAAAGTTTAAGATAGGCAGAGTTAAAACAGACAAGTTTGCCTAGTAATACGATCATATTTAGTTTGATGTTGCCATGTAAATGAATCAGAATTCTTTAACAAAACAGAATCTTAGGCCAGAATTATAAGTAGACACAGCTATACGATGAGCAAAAACTGGGATAAAATTTGTGTAATAAAGGAGGCTTAAATTCTGATAGTGACTGAGCAGAACATGAGGTTGAGGTGTGATAGGACTGATCTCAAAATTCTCAGATGGCACCATAATTGCTGAATTCAGGGTGAAGAATATTCTCTCCTTCCAGAGTTCTGTGACTGTCAGAGCTCATAGAAATGGAAGATCTTAAGGCACTGTCACTTCTGGTACATGGCACATGCTAGACAAGCAATCAACAAGGTCTCCATGGCCTATTGACTTCTCTCAACTGAAAAACAAAGGCCAGTGCTACAGAAGTTTCACTTTCTTCACATACTTTGCAAAGACTTGAAAGAGTGTAAATCAAATTGTTTAAAGATCCCATGGTTTTTGAGACCAGAGAACACTATGATTTCAATTTGCTTTGCCTGTCTTGTTTGTCAGAAAACTATATAGACAAATTGGAGTGAACACAATACAAGTCTCTCAGACTTTAAAAAAAAAAAAAAACTATATCCTCAGATAAGATACAATAGGAAGTAGAAAATAGTATGGGCCTATAGCACTGCCTCAATAAAACAGCCTAATGGCACAAGTGAGTGTTTCATGGCAACCTGGAACCTGGCTGAGGGAGGTTTTAAAATGCCTGAAGCGAAACAAAGAAGCTGACCATCAGATCTTTCTCCAGAGCATTAGAAAGATTCAGGTATTAACAATGACATAAATTACAGGGGCTCTGATATACTTTTTGTTATCATAGTGTGTGCCAGTGATAACACCTGACATTGAGGTCCCAATAAATGATGTCCTTCTCTCTCACAATCCAGTTTTTCCAAGTATTGCTGGCCTCAAATGGACATTATAGAACTGCTATGGATACAGTAAGTTAAACTGCAAGTTGAAAAACAATTTCTACATAATAAGGGCCAGAAAGATCTTCAGTGATGAAGAAAGAGAGGTCAATCTAGTTATAAGCAAGTCTTATAAAAGATTTACCAACTAAACCAAATTTTATTTCAAAACTTCCTGATATAAACCTAAGTATCAGGTCACATGTAGGGCCTCACACTGATAAATAATACACCACTAATTTTGAAACTCCTTTGTGAAATTAAAAGGCAAGCAAGACTTCCAGAAGAATTCCTGGAAGCAAGCACTGTCTGGATGTCAAAACTAGTGAAAGACTCAACCAAAAAAAAAAGAAGTGTAAGTCCAATCTCCCTAATGAATCTAGGCTCAAAAATCCTCACAAAGATACTGGCAAACAGAATGCAGAAAATACTCAAGAAGATTAAATACCATAACTAAGGGTTTATAATGCAAGGATGCAGGGATAGCTCAACATATTCAAATTAATAAACATAATACATCATATTAATAGAGTCAAAAAGAAAAACCACATGACT